AGTGGCCTCGGGATGAAAGACTACAGAACCGCAATGTCAGCCTTGCGCAGCGTCGCCAATCTATTTACGAGTGGAAAATACGAAGCTATCGGTCAACACTCCGACACAAATTCGAAAGATTCAAGTGCAGGTGAGGATTTGCGTGTGGCGAGCAGCGAGACCGAGTTCGACGAGTTACGCGCAATGAGTGGTGAGACAACGTCAAGTGCAGTCGAGATTGAGGCTTCGGAGCTGGAAAGCTCCAGGTCAGACGCTGTACAAATTACCCAGGTGGTCGCTGACTTGGGCTCTGATACTGCTGAGTTGGGCTCCTGTTCTGCTGCTGAGTTGGGCTCGGATACTGCTGAGTTGGGCTCGGATAGTACTCAGTTGGGAATCGAGAATTCCCGGTTGGATTCGAATTGTACAGTGCTGGCCAGACAGGATTGTGAAAAATCACAGAGCGACATTCCGAACCACAGAAGTATTGAACTAAACGAGGCAGGAGCCAGAAGTGTGGATTTAACGGATGTCAACGCTGCGTTTGAGCTGCAAAGCCCGCCAAAACCAAGGGGGAGGCCGAAGAAAAAGGCCAAAGCCGTCAAAGCAAAGCGAAACCTGGCGATTGAGATGGTGCAGGCAGATATGACGCTACATGAGTGCAATATGAACCTTTTTTTAAGGTTCGTAAACTACTGGACAACCATCCGACCTTCCTCAGTTCAAGTGAGACCCAGTTGCAGCTCAACGTCTTTAAGTTTCTGAAAAACCCGAAGCCCCCTATTGCGTATGAAATTTCAAAGCTACCTGCGACTAAACCGCTGATGCGAGAGGACGAGATTGTAAGGGTGTTTCCATTGGATCTCATTAAGAAGTGTGGTGCCAAAGTGGCCGCGTATCAGCGAAAGCGCAGAGGCATCCGTGAACTCGATGTAGCTTTCGAGATTGTTGGAGTGGGAGTGTTCACGAATGCGACGATCAAACTTATGAAAAATTGGCACGCTGCCGCCGTTGCATGTAAAAAGATCGGCAATGCCCTGACGTGGATCTCTACACTGGACTTTTCACGCCACGGAAACCCCAGCTTTCAAGTCGAAGCCGACCCTACACTTCCGAATAAGCTGAAGAAGATGGAAATTCTGACCTCTCAGGTAAGGAGTACACTTAGCGTTTTTATGACGGATAGTAAACTAACAACGTGTAAGCAGATAGAAATGCTGGCTCTGGTTGGAAAGGAGTTGATCGGTGATGAGGTTATGCACAAGTTGCTGACCAAACTGTTTCTACCTGGTTCTGGCGTTGTCATATTTGACGCGTCCACGTTGGGAGTTGTTGTGGATGGAGAAGTGAGCACCTCCAACGACGTTATCAGAGAAGCGCTATCCGGAGTCAGCAAAGAAAAGGTATTGATTCCTGTCAATTGCCATGGAAACCACTGGTGCGCCATCATGATGGACCTCGAAGGCGGCACAGTGGATGTGTATGACTCTAGCTTTTCATCGTACTTGATTGGTGTGCGTGCAGTAGCGCAGAAAATGATGATACTTCTACCTACAAATTTCAAGAAACCAGCCCGTGTGCGAACCTTTGAGTCTGGCCTAGGTGTACAGACGGACAGCTACAACTGTGGAATCTACGTGTTATTGACATTCGAGATGTTTTGTGGTGCTGAACCACTTGGATACTTGGACAAGAAGACACTGCAATGCCTTCGCTACCGGTACCTTCGTAAGAGTATGGAAACGAGAGATAGTTTATTGGATCAATTGGCTCAATACATAAGTTCATCTTAAGTGCATGTCTGTTGTCATAAGACTCTTCTTTAAAGACGAACTTGGGTAAATTGTGCAAGTTATTTTGATTGACTGAGTCCTGCAGGGAGATCTCACACCAGGGTGCGGCACCACACATCATGCAGACTATAAACTGCTGAAAAGTACGATTTTTGACATCCGGATATACGTCTTATGCGTATAGTTCCGAACTGGCTTCTTTCAAATGGGCACCCAACTGGGCTCCGTAAGGGCACGGTATGGGCACTACTGGGCGTTAGATGGGCGTAGGTGGGCTCGGTTGGTTGCAGGAGGCTCGTCTCAGATTTTTGAGCTGGGCGCAGGAACGGGTGCCAATGTAAAAATACAAAATATTTTAAAACTAAAATAAATGGGCTGATTTTCAGCCCATGTTTTCTAAAAGGGCTGGGTTTTAAACATGGCCCATCGAAAATTATCATAGTGATTTTGCATATTTGTCGATTACCTAATTTGACTATACTAGCACACGGATATCCTGTGTCCTACAGGGTATGAGAACTTTATTTCTGTAGAATACAGCACGTGGTGAAGGGGTTGAAGCCATTTTTAGTAAGTCATCCTCGCAATGAGTGACTCAGTTTTGTGTGATTATTTTCACTTTTGCGTATACAGCATCAGAAGCCACATAAATAGCGAGCGTGCCGCGCTGAAAGAGGCACCATTTGAGACGAAGCCAACTAGTAGCTTGGATAATCGAGAGGATTTAATGCTGATTTTGTAAGTAGCTGCACCACCGGGTTTGAAGCCGACAAAGTTCATCACCTGGATCGCCAAGCACACGCTCTCGGTTCTCGCTGGTATTGGCACTTCAGCTAAACATGTGGTAATCTCTAACAGTAGTTTTCGCTGCGTGAATAATGCACTTCAGCTAAGTCGAGTCACAACGTTTTGTTTATGGGGCCCGACACCACGCATAATCAGACTTAATAAATACGTTTTTTAATGTGTCTATTCTCTACTTTTGGGCAGCACAACGCGGATTCAAGAGCAGCCAAGTGACCGGTACTGTTGCGCAGGAAGGATGCAGAACAGCTGTGTTCTTTTCGTTGCGGTATCCTTTCTCGATGCTAACAGCGACGCCGACAGTGAGTTTCCCCGCTACCTCGTCGATTACTAACTGTGTCGTTGCACTGACTACTTAGAGACGTACTTTACAAGGTACAGTAAGAGGATTGAAATCCTCTTGGGTGCCTCTTCACGTCACCCACGAACACGATGACGAAGGTGAACGAGTGAGACAACGAACAGCGAGCAAGAGAGCAGAGAGTATCAACGAACAGAAGGAGGGCGACGAAGTGAGGCAGCTGGGGGGATCTCCCGAGAAGTCAGTAGCCCTGTACGACCAGCCCGTGGACGATCTTTTGGGTGGTGTACCCAGAACAAGTTCCTGCACTGCGGTCTTTTCGGTAGAAGTCGCGGTTGCTGGATGAAGGGGTGGCGAAGTGTCGCATGCATGAAGATCAAGGCGAGCGACTGGCAGTTCCAGATTTGCGGTGCAGCAGACAAGTGCTCGCGCAGACGCAGAAGAAGAAGGTGCCGGTATTGGTGCCTGTAGGAGATAAGCAATAACAAGTCGGTTGATAGTGAGTCACGAGACGGAATAAGTAGGGTGGAAATCGGAGTGTGACAGAGAGACGGGTATAAGCAGCCTCGTAGGGTCGTCGGTATCAGCAGCCCGGAACGTCGTGAAGTTTCCCCAAAAGAATAGGATAATGGAGTTAGCCCCTGGTGTAAAAGCCCCTAGGATAACAATCGAGCGGCTTGGCATAGATCTCCGACGAACACCACTAGTTGCCAGACCAAGGAACTCAGAAGTTGCTGTAGTGCGTGTGTAAGTTAGTGTGGGTGCGTGTGTGGAGCGGCGACTTCTGTGGCCACCGGACACTGTCACTTGGCCGAGGGCAAGACCGGCGGTGGAAGCAATGCGACATACGGAAACCGTTAAGTATCTCACTAAGTAATTGACGCCACGTAAGAGTGACTGAGTGTCTCGACGAGCTGCGATCTGGCAGCCGATTACACAAAGCTTACTGTACCGATATTACTTCGGATGTATTGGGGGCGTCGTGAATGGCGAACCTGCATCCGAAACGACACCCAAGGAGAAAGGAGCGTTCACGAAACTACTGTCTTCCAAAACGTCTAAGTCATTCTCACGAGGAACATCAATTGTCTTCACCACATTTCTAGAAGAAACAATACCATCATTTTCACAGAAGAAAAGTGAAGCAGGGAAAAACAATCCAAGAAAGAGGGAGTAATTTTATCTTTTTGACAGTTACGTGCTTTCCCAAGTGTGTGGGCAAACAAGAAGCTCACACAAAACCATCTACCTTAGCGCCATGGGCTACCGGGGATATATTTAAGATCGATCCGGATTTCAAGCTACACGACATATTCCTGGAGCAGCAACCCTTGTGTGGTCTGGACTGGGACAACGTCCTGAAACTATTAGCGCTCGTTCAGAGCGCGATGAGCTACAAGTAGTACGAACAATTCGTTGCGAACAAGATGATGGATGGACCAAGATCTTCCGCTAAACGAAGTTAGAGTGATAGGAAAAGTTGCGTACGGAAAAAAAATATCAATGGAATAATTATTGTAGTTTTGAGCGTATTTTTGTACCATCTTCCTTTCGATACCTTGTGACATACAAAATGAAAGTAAAAAAAACAAATGTAGGATAATTTAGTAGTATATGTTGCAATAATTGGTCAAAATACCATATTACTACTATGTATATTACTGAACTTGAAAACGAAAATACAATTGCATATTTTCCCACAAGCACCAGCTTAGCAAAAGCTATGTGAAAGCAGCTTTTAAGCTTGGAAAGCTGACATTAATACGCTCGAGTGCGTGGAGAAGAAGTTGAGCGTGCTAAATTGAAGCGTCCAGAGTTCGAGTTGATAATTGCCCTTCTCTTTTGAAACTCCTTAGAGCGATTAGCTCAGATTCACCAAATCTATCCTATATATGGATAGTATGGTTTCATGTGGAGCAGTATTCCAATGCAATACCGTGGGAGAACTGTAGAGGTTAAAAAGGATCGCAGTTCCACGTTCCAGGCATTCTGGTCTGCTACCATTTGACTCCAGGGAGAGCATGTGTAGAGCAGCACAACGAAGGCGTTTTATGCAGTATCGACATGGTATTTATTCATATCCAGCGTTCAAATCAATCGCTATTTGGTGTTCATCCTGGAGGTTACGTAGTGCTCGTCACTCTCTTCATTGCTTCTAGATAATACTCGTAGTATCGGTAGTTGGGGGCTGCTTTCAGCGCATCCTCTGTCAAATCATCCAACCCCAAGGAAAACTTGACGTACCACTCCGGTCTTCTCTGGCTGCTCCAGATAAGCGTCTTTTCATGCAGCTCGTCTGGAGTGGCGTCCTTACTGGTCATTCTTGGCAGCTCGTCGTACTTGAATCCACTTTCTTTCATGTCGATAATGTAGTCGTCCATGAGGTTGACATAGCGCTTGTAGGACTGGTAGGTTCCCGAACGTTTGCGTATGGTCGGCTTGACTCGGAATACCTCCAGCTCTTTCCACACCTGAAACGATGTGATGCCTTCCCGGAGCATCCCTTCCTCTTCATACTTGAGAGACGTTTCCCGATATTTCTTTAAAAAGACGTAATTCGGTTGGGCTTTGAGCACCTCTCCAAACTTGTTCTCAAGCCCCAGCATCGCTGCTACATCGCTCACAGTCACATCGTAGAGGGCCCATTCTTTCAAGTAGTTCTTGACATGGTTCTTGTAGTACTTGTAGTTTCGGTGAGACACGAGAGCTTCTCCAGTCAATTGGTCCAGCTTTAACTTGGCCATAACCTCGTCCAGAGGGGTCCCTTTCTTCATCCACGTTTTCATCAGACCGCCCACGAACTCTTCGTAGTACTTGAAGTTCACATCGTGTGGACGTGCTGCCACCGGAAGCGTGTTGAGGTTTAATCGCACCAATATGTCGTCCAATGAGAGGTCCTTCTTAGCCCACACTAACGCTTGCTGCCCCTAATACTGATCGTAGTATTTAAATCTCGGATTGGACATAAGCTCAACACCCGACAGCCTTTGAAGACCCAGCTGAGACACAACCTCGTTGGGGGTCAGCTCCTGCTTCGCCCAAATTGGCAACTGAGAAGTCACGTAGTCGTCGTAGTACTTAAAGTCTTTTGCCTGCGTCAACAGCGCATCGTCTACCCCTGCCATTCCCAGCGCCTTCCATACGAAAGAAACTGACTTCCCGTTGTTCGATCACACTTGCAGCTTTGCCTTTAAGGGCCATGCGGGCGAGATCTTCTCGCTGAATGTGTTGGTGGCTTTCGATACACCCTGTGTGATCGACTTGAAGGTCTTGGACGACGTAAGCTTTTCGAGTGCCCCTGCCCTCTCGTCCGAATTGCCACTAACGCCATTCTTGCTCTCACCGTTCTTGAACGACTGCCGGTCCCCGTAACATAAGTCTTCAGATCTTAAAAATCTTGGCTTGGTATTCTCCGCGACGATGAAATGGGGTGAGACTAGTGTGGACGTTGGGGTAGCGTCGCTGGTGGCTTGGACAGAAAGCCGCCGCGAGCGAGAAGCACGCGATACCACCGCATAATTTTCCAAAGTGGGCAAAAAGGGCAAAATCCCAAAAACACCGTTCGAAACGGTGTGCAGCACCCTCAAACGCATAATAGCACCTTCCGGGGAGGGGCGACGCAGCTATGGCGCCAACTAAGACGAGGACGCGTAGCCGCGCGGGTTTGCTGCGGCTACGCGTCCTCGTCTTAGTATCGAGGGCAAAGCTTGAGATCCGAGTGTTTTCACTGAGAAAAGAAAAATCGCTTTGCTAGATATTACAATCACTTATTTCAGTAGCGAATTGAGCAACATTTTTTTTGAGTATTTCCAATATCAAAGACAGCAACCCGACCCGACTTTTAAAAAAACGCTTCTTTTAACATTGACGAACACTTTATAAACATAGTTTAATCACCTGGTTTGTTTTCATAATTGATATTATCCATACCACTAAAGCTATCACGCGATCACAATTTTTTTGTTTAGTCTCAGCAAAAAGCACTGAAATATGGAAAGCTCTCGCTTTGGCTTGGCTTAGCATGTTCGCGAAATTAACGTATTGAAGCACAAAATACTGGCGTCGCAAGGTGCAGACTGACGGTTTACGGTATATATTAAGTATCGAAAAACCCAGTCTGCGTCGCACGTGGCCTCAGCTATTTGTACCACTCCAGGTCTCAAAAATGAAGTCCCATTACGATGATTTGGCGAGTAATTGGTCATTTCTGGTCCCATTTTGATGTAGAATAGACCAGATTGTACCTGTCGATTGTGCAATCGTTTAAATATGCTCTATTTAATCTTGCGATAAGTATTGGCGGTCAAAAGCGGAATTAATACGCCATAAGTCATCCTATTTATCGCAATACAAAACTATTAATGAGCTTTATGTCTTGGTTTTGTTCATTACTGCCGCATTCGTTCTTCCCTCTTACTAAAATCAAGCCCTTTAAAAATGACATCTGTTTTAATGCAGCAAAACTGCTGTATGGAGCTTCATTTTTAATACGGAGTGGTAGATTACATCGTAAAAACACCATCCATTATATTCCAGGAAATGTAGCCATACCTAACAGACATCCTCTGTTCAAAAAAGGAAATCCCAAGATCAAAAAAGAAAATCCAAAAGAGACGGACGAAATGCCCCGTCTAATCGTTTTGAGGGGTGAGATTTGAAGCACGTTAGAGTCGATAGGTGTGCACATATTATTAAGTACTGAAGGTGAAGTGAGGATAATTACATAAGCGATTGCGGGCTTTCTCAATTTGAGCTGTGTTTTTCTCATTTTGAGGGAGAGATTCTTTATTTGATCTGGAAATGGTGTACTGTATCTCTACCGGTATCGTAGCCTTTGTTTGAAAATCTCGTCAGATTTATTTTGCATTTGTTAACTTCTTCTTACCGTGCAACATTTTAATAGAAGTGGAACTTTTATTAATAATACACCTTTCGTACTGAGGCGAGGCTTGCTACGGTATGTACCGTAAACGACGGTCTCAGTGCGACAATTGTAAGAAAACGCTCGGTTCGAAATGTTTACTAAATGCAAACAGGTGAACGCGATACATAAAGTGTACATACTGTTGTACAAGCAAGGGAAACAGGGCATGTTTGATTGCAACTTGCCTGTACGCAGCTTTTTGTGAATCATACATTCAGTACAGTAAACTGAATGTATGGTACATAAAAAGCTGTTCTGATCAATTACCTATTTAAGCTAGCCACACCAAGCTTAAAATGCTTAGAACAGAGGCAAAACGCCCCTTTGATACCGTATACGGGTATTAATAGACACTGTCGGTGGGCTTGCAAATCAGCTAAACTTCCACCGAGCATTGTTCTTGGCAACCAAGCTTGGGGTCTTACTGAACTGTACACTCAACAACAGGTACAATGTGTACATTCGCACTAGCTCGATTATTTTATACACGTAAAGCCTATCCGGAGAATATTTGATTGACGGAGTATTAATACATGTAGTTCATTTTGAAAATGGTATTTGTGTTTACTCACAAATCAGCTCCGACGCCTCCGAGTCGGACGAGCAGCTGCTCGCGCAATTAAAAGCAGAACAAAGTACTCGAGAGCAGCTTTTGACTCATTGGCTGCCTTCGAGTATTCATTTAAATTTGAGATCTCAGCGAAAGCGGATTTTCAAAGCGTTTCTTACGCATTCCATTGGATAACAAATTACAGAGCCTCAATCGGCAGGAGGAGTGCATCACACTAACACTGTCCGCAGTTGGACGACAAAACCTACGCATCTGTACTCACCGATATTTGAGGGAGCAGATTTTTGCGTCCGATGGAATCGTATGATTAGTCTCACAGTGAGACTCTTCCGGGTTGTTGGAGGGATGATTTGCGCAGAGTTGTTAGGGTAGTACAGTACGGAGTGAGGACAAAAGTAGAGTGGTCTAGTGGAGAGGAAGTCTTGAGTGTAGAAGGAGAAGACGCTTGTGGTGGACTTGGTAAAAGAAGAAGAGCATGTGGTGGACTCGGTAAATGAAGAAGTAAGATTAATGTTTAAGAAAGTAGCGGGCTACTAACAAGAAATTAGTATGCGGCATTCAGAAACATAGTCTAGAATTGCCGCTACCATTCATCGTACTAAAATGTTCCAGACATTTTAGTACATTATTTATTAGAGTCAAAAATACCGTGTCTCTTCATTATTAGTTTATAGAGAGCACGATGGAGAGGCGGTCCCTGTGACGGGCCCTAACCTCAACAGCCTTCCTGGATCGACATCAGGGAACGTCATTGAATAATATAATACACGTGTTTTGATTGGTCTACGAAAACCCTGCTAAAAGTGTTCAGTCAATTTACAAAATTGCTACACGAATTCGTGTTTTTTGCGTTTCTTAGAGGCCCTACAGCCAAACGGAGACCGGATTTGGACTCTACTCGCCAGGGCAGTTTTCTGGGGAGGTGGAGTCCAAATCGCCATTTGGCCACCTGTGCACCAGGTGGCAGACTGAAAAATGACTCGAAAGTTCAAAACGAATTAGTTTTGACAGTGACAGGTTTTGAGAGTACACTTGTATTGAAGTTAATAGCAGTTACAACAAGTGGCCATCTTATCGGAGCGTGTATGCTAACTTAGAGAACCTCAATGCCAAGAGAATCGGCCCACATGACGGACAGCCTTGAATTTAGTAGAGACGACAAACGCAGATGATGCTGGGACGGCATAAGGTCTTATTCTATGGTCCGGCGCGCGGTATAGGATCAATCAGCAGCTCGGGGGCTCATCGAGCTGATCTCGTAGTCTCACATCACAATTTACATTCTACTGTCACCGCACCAGGTGCACGCACGTGTCAAGGACACGCACGTCAAGGCCACGACACCAACAAATTTCGGTGCTTCAACAGCCAGCTTTGGGTATTGCAACGCTTCATTCTCGCTCAGTCGGCGTCATTCAGGATACTTGTGGAGACCAGGCAGATTGGCTCGAGGCTCAGTTATTTAACGCCAGCTTTGAGGATCATGTCTCGGTCGGCGCAGGTGGCCCGGATGGACCCTACTATCGCCGTGCATCTCATTACAATGGCTGCCCCAAAGCAGCTACCTTCGACTACGATTTCTCTATATGAAATAGTACAGTTATATTTCACTAGATAGTCATCATCACATCGGAGATGCTTACTTCGACAGCCTCCCACATCGAGGAATGTGTATGATGCTCTATCTGTCGGATAGTTACCACAGGTGGCTGTTATAACAGTCCTGTACGTACATGAGCATTTACAAGAAGTAGATCTTGTTTTGATATTGATGATCTTTTTCCTTTGACTTTCATTGTCAGATTTGTCGCCTTGTGCTGTTTTGCTTTGGCAATAACTGTGCTGATTTCTTGTTTTCATTGTTATTTTGGCTACTCAGGAAAACCTTAGAGGATTAAACCTGTTCACCGTAGTGATTGTTGTTGCTATCGTTTTAGTTATACGAATTTGTAGCAGCTACTTCAGGGAGACCTTTAATTTTAAGGATCAAAACCTGTTCACTGAATTGTTGCTGTTATCGTTTTAGCTTTACGAATTTGTAGAAGCTACCTCAGGAAAACCTTTAATTTTAAGGATCAAAACCTGTTCGCTCTGTTGTTGGCTACTCAGGAAACATTTGAGGATACACCTGATCACCGTATTTATCTTTATATATTTTGTGTAAGCGTTTTAGCTTTGTTCATTTCTTAAACTGCCATTGTTTTGCTCTTTCATATGTGGATATTTCTTCACACTGTGTGGTTTGTTTTTTGTTTTTTCGCTGCTGAGGTCTTATAGAATTGCCTCCCAATTTCATGAAATGGTTGATATAGGTGCTGCAGTCATTTTCAATTTGTTCTGACTATTGTTATTGAGAGCTTATAGTTTTCACATATTTTTGAAGAAAGGCTACAGCTTTTAAAAGCATAAATAACATCAAACAGTGTCATCGGTAGCGTACGCATCATATTTGCAGTAAGTGTGCAGGCTCTCGTCGTTGGGGTTATTTCTCTCCCTAGAGGCTCATCGAGTTGTTTCTCGTTTCGAAGTTTATAATTTTATTTTTACTTCGCAAGCGCTAGCGATAAATTTTGCAAACTATCGAATTCATTGTAGATGGAATTGATGCAGTAAAACTATAGTTTGCTTTCTGTAGACAGAGGCTTCTGTAGGCTTGTCTTGTAGTCATAAAGTGTTGAATTTTTTTTCTCATTCTTTTGGTACTGTTATGCTGGAAATGTTTGAAACTTTTGCCGCAATAATTTTTTTTTAAGTTTGGCGAATTGAATGAATTGTTTCGGTTGTTGCCTCCCAGTTTCATACATTTCTGGGCGTATTTCTTAACTTGGTTAAATACGAGACACATGTTTGTATGGACAATTGCCCATTTTCATTTTATCTCTTTCTTGTTTTTTTAAGGTATATTTTTATTTTACAGGTCCAAAATGTAGTGGATTACCTGTTCTCAACAAGCCGTAGATCTGCATTTAGTAGACTGCTGCAGCTTTGCATTAAGCGAGGTTTTAGCTGTGCCATTCGGCCTTGTAGCTCGAGATGTACATATTTAAAATGGTATCTCATTAAGTACACATATACTAGTAGTAAATACACAGCTTGTAGCTGGAATATTTTAAGCACAGCTTTATAGCTCGCAAGTGGGGCATTTGGCCTCCCAGTATGGCGTGACACTACAGCAATGCTGCTGGTTCGTGAGGGCGGTATTTAGTTCTTCGCCTTAAATATGTACTACATGTACTTGTACATCATCAAATGCATGTACGTGTATGTGTACGTGTACGTGTACGTGTACGTGTACGTGTACGTGTACGTGTACGCGTACATGTACGTAGAGCACAAGGCACTGTGGCCTTCTAGTACGGCTTTTCAACCAGCATCAATAGTACAGCGCTATGGCTGGTCTGGCATCATGGCCTCACAACTCGGCAATGGCCGGTGTGGCACGGAATGTATGTGTCTCGTGCGGCGCTACAGCTCCATGGCTGGCGCGGGGGTTTCATGACCTCCCAGCATGGCGAATAACTACGCATGCTGTGCTACAGCACAGTGGCTGGAGCCAAGTTGGCAACGTGGCCTCACGCGAGTTGGTGTCCGTCGGGCGATTTTCTCTCCGATCTCCTTCATGAACCTTGGGGCTTGGAGGCGCATCGTCTTGCCGCTTTCAGCTCGTCAGTACCCTGGCGAAGCGTTGGGCTGATAACCTGTTGGAGGGATGATTTGCGCAGAGTTGTTAGGGTAGTACAGTACGGAGTGAGGACAAAAGTAGAGTGGTCTAGGCGGCCATAGTGGAGAGGAAGTCTTGAGTGTAGAAGGAGAAGACGCTTGTGGTGGACTTGGTAAAAGAAGAAGAGCATGTGGTGGACTCGGTAAATGAAGAAGTAAGATTAATGTTTAAGAAAGTAGCGGGCTACTAACAAGAAATTAGTATGCGGCATTCAGAAACATAGTCTAGAATTGCCGCTACCATTCATCGTACTAAAATGTTCCAGACATTTTAGTACATTATTTATTAGAGTCAAAAATACCGTGTCTCTTCATTATTAGTTTATAGAGAGCACGATGGAGAGGCGGTCCCTGTGACGGGCCCTAACCTCAACACGGGTCAGATTAAACAGATATTGTGTTCTGCTGCTTGGTGTAACTTTTCAAGGAAGTCGATAGGAGACCGCGAAACGCGGCCCGACTAATACAACAGTACTGTGATATATTCTATGGACTCCGAAGTCCTACTATTGATCATCTGACTTGTCAGGTCACCAATTTAAAAAACATGATTAGTAGCACAGCCAAATTATCACTTCGAAAAAGATGCGGTGGTGTCATATTCTCGTCATGTCAATTTGCTTCCTTGCTAGCAGCGATGGTCACTTGGCGACCAAAACGTCGGCCGTGTCTTCGCCCGCAACCTTGATATCTACCAATGCCATCGTCACTGACAACGCGAAACGAAGATTTCTGAGGGTGGACGAGTCGGATAAGACCAGCGTTCGATATGAACAGGAAGTAGACAAGACAACTAGAAGATGTCGAGAGGAGAGAACTCAAGACACTTGAGAAATTTCAGTCTTTGAAAGCACATAAGCGGGCTCTGTCGAAAGCCAGCAACTCTTTTAGTCCAGAAAATGCCCAAGCATTATCACTGACGTTTAAATTACAAGTCGGGCACAAGAACAAGAGGTCGGTCTCAGTCGTCAAGAAGGAACTGCGACCGGATAAGCTGGACGATGTTGCGTGTACTCAAGCCAATTCAAGTTCTACGATGACTATGTTATTCAACAGTTGCCATTCTGATCCTCACTATGAAGAGTTCGTGGAAGGTGTGATGAGGTCGTGGAAGGACAAAGAATTACAAATGACCGAAGTCATGACTAAGTTTAAGCTGGACAAGCTGAATTGTTGTAGCACCCGGACTACAAATTCTACGAAAACAACTTCAAAATCCATTTGAAAGCCTGGGCCGCCGATCGGAGATCCTCTGAGGACAAGTTGGGTTTGAAGAATTCTCGAGGGCAATTCCTGAAACATCACCCGAATAATATCTTCTTGGAGAAACTGAGGACGCACACGGATGCATAGTGAGAAAAGGAGTGGCTAACACAAGGTGTCATGTCTTACGCTGCGTGGGAAAAGAGTGAGGTTGAGCAGAACCTCAGACATGTTCAAGGCCAGCGAGAAGTATGTCACTCTGCTTGACGATAGCATTTTACGTAGGGAGAAAACTGCCAAAATTGATCAGTGACAGCGCGTCTGTGCGAGAGCTAACCAAAAAAAGCACTTATCTGGATCGCTAACAAAAGACCGGAGTGGCACGTCAAGTTTTCGTTGGGCTTCGATGGACTGGATGACGTAGCACTGAAAAGAGCAGTCAACTAAAAATTCTACGAGCGCTTTCTAAATTCGAAGAACATAGCATAATAACCTGAAGTAAATGCAAGCGCGAGCCATGATTGTGCAAAAAATATTTGTCAGCAACTTTCCTTTCCATAGTGCAAGGTAGCACCGGTAAGTGAGTAAAACGTCAGCTCCGAATATTCCAAGATATTCCATGCAATGTACGTCGACTTAGTTTCAGAATTACTACTGTAGTAAGTGACTTGTTACAACCTCTGCACGGAAAATAACGCACATTTCCAAACAAGTGCACTGGGTAGTATTAACGCCTGCAGCCTCGATAATTTGTTGAGTTTTTCTTGTCAAAGTTTTTGTTGACCGGTGGAGATGCTACAAACAGAAATTAAAACTGCTTGTACCTCAGAAAGCTGCAAAAAACATTACTGGCTCGTGACTTCTTCATTTATTCAGTCTTTATTCAACGTCAACGACGGCTTCAGTGCGTGTGCTGTAGATAGCGCTGGTAGTATTTGTAGTTGGTGGCTTCTTTCAGTGCAGTTTCGTCCAAGCCGTCCAAGCCCAAGGAAAACTTGACGTACCACTCCGGTCTCTCCTTTTTGGCCCAAATAAGCGCCTTCTCGTTTAGTTCTCGACCAGATGCCTCTTTGTTGACCAGGTTTGGCAGTTTAGTTTCGCCCTTGTTTATCAACTGAATCATTGTATCGTCCACCAGGTTGACGTAATTCTCGTAGAGATGGAACGTGCTCGACTTGAAACGCAATGTTGGATGTACTCGGCTTACTCCAAGCCTGTTCCACGCATCAAAAGACGTGACATGTCGCTGTAGCCACAACTTTTCTCGGTACTCGTTCGCATGTGTTCCAAGTTTCTCCAAGAAGACATAATTCGGATGTTCTTTCAGCTTGTTCCCGGACAGACCCTTCTTCATGCCCAGCTTCTCCGTAGCGAAATTATAGGATTTCAGATCGGCAGCCCACTCTTTCAGGTTGTTTTTCACGTAGTTTTTGTAGTACTTGTAGTTCGGGTGGCTCAAGAGCGCGTTTCCAGTCAACTTATCCAGCTTCAGCTTCACCATGACGTCGGCCAGAGGTGTGTCTTTCTGCATCCAGGACCTCATTAGACCAGCCACGAATTCCTCGAAGAACTTGAAGTTTTCAGCTTGTGGGCGATCTTTTAATTGCACTGTGTTCAGCTCTAGCCGAACCAAGATATTGTCGATGTCAAGATCATTTTTAGCCCACAGCAATGCTTGCTGCTCCATAAATTGGCTATAGTACTTGAAATTCGGATTGGACGTAAGCGCAGCTCCTTGCAGCCCATAAATACCCAACTCAGTGGCAACTTGGTTGGGAGTCCACTCGTTCTTCTTCCAGACTGGTATCTGGGAGATCACGAAGTCGTCGTAGAACCTGAAATTCGTGGCTCCGGTGAGCGCGCTACCCTCCAGGTTGTCCAGCCCCAGCGCGTTCCTGACGAAGGACACTGACTTCTTGTTCTTGCGCCATACATCCACCTTCGCGCTTGTCGCTAACAGCGGAGTAACATGTTCACGAAAAGATTTCGTAGCTTTGGTCATTGAACGCGAGAATGACTTCATCGGTCTAAAGGATTTGAGTTTTTCAAATGCTTTGAGGGACTGGAGTTTCTCAAGAACTGCTCCGTTCCCTGCCCGCTCCTCGCGGTCGTTCGCGTGGGGCGTGTCAGTCTCGAAGTCGCCATTGATGCCATCACGGCGATCGATGTCCTGGAAGGAGGAACCCCTTGTGTTGTCCCAGTTTACCGTCCTTAAATGCCTTCTACGGGCAGTCGCAGCGACGACGGGGTTAGCAGATATCAAGGTAGCGCGCGACGCTGCCGTCGATACCTTGGCCTCCGAAAGAACGTCGCTGCTGGGAAGAAACAGGGAAATCAACGCAACGAGCGCGACACGGCACCACCGCATCTTTTTCCGAAGTGGAGACGCCGTCGACATGTATGCTACATTGTAGCCTACAACGGGTGGTTAATGCATCATTTTGATATTTTGTGAGCTTCCTTTTCAAAGCTTGAGATAGATCAAAGCTTTTTGACCGTACATATACGTACTGTACATGTACCACCTACAGTCGTGCACCTCCAACTCGGCACCGGTATCAGTCGATACCCTGCCAGATTTAATGATTACGCGAATCGGATGCGCAACTACCTTTGCCCATCACCACCCTAGCAATTAACCTCAACGGTTTTTCCCTCCTCGCCTAGGGATGACACGCCACATCGATCTGATTTTAAATTTTGGATCGGACGTCTTCATACAAACACACACTTTGATTTTTACCGCCAAAGACAATGGGACATCGCCCTTCCTCCTACATGTCCCACAAAAGCAGTCTTTGTGCGAGAAGCACAAGTCAGATCTGCATGCTCTCACTCCGAACTTGCTCGTTGGGCAACGGAGCGCTTTAAGACCCCCCAAGCAGTAAAGCGCACTACCGTCCAGAGTTTTCTTTAGCTTGGCGGAAGTTGCCGCCTTGCCGGACGCCTATCGCGACCGGAAGCGCTGTTGTGAGCCCGCGATTCGCGCGTCTAACGCCAAGATTATGCAAAAGATTGGCGTAAATTTTGTACTGAATTAACAAATAAAGTATCAGCGCACTGGATTTGCGTTTGTTTTTTGCTTTACGTTGTCCCTGCCGAATTGGAGGTGCACGACTGTACATTGTAGGCAGAAATTAGTAGAAACACGCGGGATAATACACACGGGGCTGGGCGACGTGGTTTCGGCCGCGGCGCGGCGCCGCTTAGTTGAGCGGTTGCGAGGCGCGTAGCCGCAGCAAACCCGCACGGGGAGCCCGCGAAGCTGGGCCGCGCGGTATTTGCGGAGGCGGACTCAGCGCTGAGCTCACCAGCGAGCCGAGCACTACACGTTCCAGTTCATTCTATCTCGACCGCGGGCCAAGCGAAGACCAGGTGGTCCCTTTTCTGCTGTGACCTCTAATCGTCGATTATGTTTTATTGCGACACTCAGAAGGTAAAACAAATACAGAAGTCAAATGGTTTGCTGTGTGCTGAAGCATGTGTTTGGCATGTTCTGTCCATTGTAGGCTACAAGTACTGATTTTGTACAGTACAGTAAATGTACCGCACATACGACGATCCACCTCGGCAGTCTTTCATCATGTTTTATAAGACTTTTAGAGAAATCTGTTCGTGTACCACGTACTTCGAAGTACATTGTATTAATAGCGTGCAATCTGTATGTACAGTACTCTCTCTTCCTTTAGAGTGATGAATCCCCCTTAATAAGCGTAGATTGCACGTCAAATACCCCCTTATATCGGATCACATTGATTGAAGATACATTGGACAAATCTCTTAATAGCAATGATGTTCCTCTGACAATTTATCAGACGGCCACGTTGAGGGGGACTTCTGTATTCCAAGTCAAAAGATTACTGAATAATACCGAAGTGGTCGTTTGTATGTGTTGCAGACGTTCCTGTGGAAGCGTCAGATAGTGCAAATCACATATGATAATCTCATCGTACCTTTACATGGGATGTTCTCAAATAAAAAACGTACCGAAAATTGGAAATGTACTACATGTCCACACCGATGTTTACGGTACAGTTGGACTGGAGAGGATACCACAGCAAAAAGGAGGAAATTCCATAATGCAGTACATATGTACTGGATTAATTCTAATCTTTAAAAAAAGTAACCTTACAAAGTACAGATAGCTTTAGCTCATAAGTTCGCATTTGTGGTGCTAATTGGATTGTAAAAAAGTAAGATTTTCCCATTACTCTCCATATATATATTTTTTTAATACTCCACGCCTTGTAAATGCTTGTTCTGTATAGTATATAATTAGAGCATGAAGTTTAATAATTAATACTACTTTTGCCTTAATTTAAAGATTTGAAAGCACCGTCCTTCTCCAGATGTTTCGGTCCTTTTCGGCAGGCTCATACCGGTATTAAGAGCTAATAAAATCTACTCCAGCAGTTCTCTTGACCGATACGCTGAGCCGAAATTGCATACATGAAAGCGTAAAGTTGAAGGAGGAGATGCATACAGTATCTACAAACCATCGTGAATAGAAAAATTGCTTAACCGACGTGAATGTGCGATTTCTAATTCAGAAATAAAAATAGAAAAATTTAGTGAAATTAGGCCAATCTAAAGTCATATTTAGAGAGGAGAAGTGTTTCTTTACAATGCCACCCGCTAATAAGAGGAAGAAACTCGTCAGAAACATGGAGCGCAGGCTCGACGACTCTTTCTAATGGCTCACTAACAATTCCAACACTACGAACCGCCCACCAAGCACCGAAAAGCCAGAAATTCGATTGATGTGCGGTGGTGGTCTATTTGCCAGCAAGAGAATGATGAATTTGACGTCGAAAAAGTGAACGTAAAACGCTGGGTGAATGATTTTGAGTGTTATCTTATCAAATGGGCTGAAACAGCCTTGATAATGAATCTTAAGTTCGCAGCGCCATTAGTCTGTTCTGCTAACAGCACTCCAAATTTATTTATATTGACAGACCAGGTAAACAAATCCAGTACTGTACATGTATACTGTATTATGGAAATTTCTCCAGCAAAAAAGTTGTGGGTGCATAAACAGTATAATTCAAACTATTTCTGCATTTCGACCTCCATCGGCAAGCCTAAACTAAGCATACACCCACAGAAATGTGTCTTCAACTACTCTGGAGTATTAATAGGCACATTAGCTTATGACGTTAGCGAGTCAGCCACGCCGACTTGCGTACTCAAACAGGTGCTGGATGTGGTGTCAGAGTAGCAAACTAGAAGGCAGTGTCTACGTGGACCAACTTTTTGACATAGACCGGACGAAGCCATAAAACATATGGTTTTCTAATATCGGTATAATACTGGAATTGCACTTTTTGTCTAAATATAGACTTTCATCAACTACTCACCAGCTAGCAGCAACTCGCCCTACTGGCCCTACTGGCCTTATACTAGCTGTTGCTCACCAGACAAGTATAGGTTCTTGTCGTGAACGCGTGAAGATGTCAACAACTATAGGATGAATGCATGAACAAGATGTATTACACTCATTTATCGCCCCTCTCGGCCATACGAAAAAGTACATAGCGAACTTTCTCCATCTCTGTTTCGGAAAGAGTATTGGTCTTGTATACATTCAGACGACAGAACGTGGCTAGATAAGTAATGATCAAACTAATGCGCAACATACAAACCACAGCTGAAACAATCGCGTTGGCGTCACGCCAGATACAGGTGGATTTCCAATTGATAGTCAGGGGAAGGTACACTTTCTCGACCAACGTAGTCACTTCGGCTTCGTAGTCTTTTTTGTGAAAAACGTCGTATTTCCACATACCCGCTGCTTCATGTCAACCACCGCGCCACACCAGTGGGAGACATCGACCTTAATGTGGATTGGGCACAGTATCACCATGCCCTCGTCACATTTTCTAAAAATGAAGTCATTTGTGTCAACGAGCCTGTTTAGTAGATCTTCGTCCCCATATGTAGCGAACGTGGGGTTGGCAAAGTATACCTTTGGTGGTGGACTCCATGACGCCTCTGCAGCGATTCTGGTTGCTACAGCAACTATACATTCGTCACTCAACCGACTTCGGTCACCGAATCGAGCGATTTCTGCGAATTGGACACTTGGCCCGCCTGAATTGATAGAACTTCTCATGTCCGTAGCTGCGATATCCTGCAAAATTTGAGCACGTTCTTCTTCGTCGTCTGGGGTATCCAGCTCAACACTCTTGATCCATGAAATCAAGGACCTTGCCCTGGCAACAAGTTTTGATATTACGTGCCAATCGCTCATAATCTGGATATTTGTGGCGCGAAATGTACCCACGTTCATGATCGCTACAACAATGTCTGCGTTGATGACTGGTATTTCGTCAGCTGCTGCTCGGATTATCCGGTTTTTGTATTGCTGTCAAGCATTTCCTCACCAGCGTCTCTGTAGAATCAACAACATGAATAGAGTTAGACTCTCTCAATTTCAATACGAAGCAAAGCTCAGCAGTTTTATAGTTTGTAAAAGTTGGTAAGCGTGTGCATGTTTGGCTCGAAGAGTTGGTACTAAAACAACACCAACTCAATACCACATATACCAACTTACACAGACTACGTTCCAACTCACGTGGAGCATACTGGTAGAATGCCTCGAACATTGGACTCAAAAGTGGCTGCTATTCCTGCATCTATGATGCGCGCCTTCGAACGTTTAAACGCTGCATCGTGATGAAAGAGGCGCGATCCATCGCATTTGGTCTCCACATCCACAAGAGACCACTCTGCGTTCTGCTGAACGGCAGCAAAATCTGCCAAAGTCACATCTCCCTGCTTTGTAAGTCTCTCGGCGAGCTCACTACTGCCTTCAAATTCAGCTCGTTTTCTAGCTTTATTGTTCGCTGGCTGGAGACGTAGCCGTCCTGGTGGGCGACTAGCTCTGTTCAGCTTACTTCTCGGCAAAGTATTGGTTGCAGGGACATCTGCTGTTTTCTCCATCGTAGATTCACCAGGTATAGTTGCCTCCTGAGAAGCCGTTTTGGATATAAGTGGTGGTGCTCTTTGTTCTTTGCATTGTGCGACTTTACTCGTGGTCGCTGAGATAGTCCCGTATCCATAACCGAGACGCTGGTTGAGAAGTTGTCGCTGTGATCACAATCTTGATCATTAAGTAGAGCCCAGCGAGGAGGAACGGCACCAGCTGGTATGACAGGAGATCGAGACTGCTTCCGTCACAGATAAATGAAATGACGGCGCGGCAGAAGTTGTGTTTGGGTGAAGACTCAACTGCACGTATTATTCTCACAACTCACCGCGTAGGTCCTGTTGGATTACGGTTTTATTGTCGTGTCGTATCCAGGCAGAGCACTTGTTTCCACCGTATACGCCACCGTCGGGATGACTTTGTATTGGTCCCCTACTAAGTCACATGCGTGATGCGTGGCAATGCGAGCAAGCAGCTTCATCTCGTCTTCGTACTCGCTAATGACATGAATTTTAGTCCGTTTCGTTTTGAGCTTGTAGTTATCCTCAGCGGATTGCTGCAGAAAAAGCAGTGTTTCATTGCACTCGTCCATAGGCATGTGCTTTGCCAATACGTCTTTGGCGGCACCCCAGCTTGCTTCGAGCCTGTTGTTAGTATTATTGTCCAAATGAGGTATAGGGCCGCGCCGAAACGTACATCGTCGTTCTTTGCACGATAGCTAATTCGTTTCGAAGTACCCATAACGCCAACCTTGCCAGCACAAATCTCCTCAAGCGCCTCCAAGTAATGGCTGTATTCACTCTCATGCAAACCATCATCGTAAGAAAATTTCTAATGTGCAGCTTCTCAAATCCTGTAACTCCATAGTCTCGCTTGCCAACTTCACGTTTGAGGTAGTCGATAACATGAAATTGAGACAGGATTACGGTCGCTTCAGAAAATTCTGACTCGAGCGTGAATATTTTCGTAAAATCCTTGTCAATGACGATCACCTTGACATCACGCCAGTTTCCATTGCTACGCTTGAATGCGGTAATGGCGCTCTTCGTGTTTCTTGTGTCTAATCCTCGATGAGTGCATGCTGAGCAAAAGCACCACTACCAAATTTATCCGTCAGTATAAAGCTGAAAAGGCAGTTTCTATTCACACAGACCAAACATGTCAACCTCAAGCTGTTTTCAAGGCCAAATAATAGCAATCGCCAACTAGCAACAACCAGAACCAACTAATACCAACTAGTACCGACTAATACAAAACGTTAACAACGCTCAGTTAGTGCCGTGGTTTGCATCAACACATCACCTCAGGAAACAGTCGCGTCATACGTCTCATGTGGGCCGTTTGAAACGTGATGCAGCTTGTCAGCTTGGTATCGTCATCACGGAACACGCTGACAACGTTCCCAGGTCCCTCACTGAAATATTGTAGCACTTCCGTCACGCGCACATTGCAGGCGACGTATACGAGCTCCGGCGCATTTCAGCGATCATGTTGCTCGCATCCTTGAGCATAAGCGGCTTGCTCGAAACCTCCTTTAGATAGCGGATGATCTCCGCTCGTTTAGATCCACCTAGAAATATATAACACGTTAGGATATGTCAGTAAATGCTAAAATCATCGCAGTAGCAAGCATACATTGCCACATTGTCTGTACGACATTTCAAGTCCCCGGAGAACTGATTGTCCTCATCTCGGCGTACGTGTTGAAGATGTTCTCGTCGATCTTCTGATTATGTGAAGACTCGTGCCTCCGAACACACACACGGTAGCCACCACTCCCATCATCAGACAACAACGCATGAAGATTATCTGGGCATTCAATGCGGCGAGTGGTGTGGTTTTGCCGGGCTCCTGCTCCTGGGATGCGTAGGATCTTGAATGCGTGCAATTCCATGTCTTCGTGTAGTATCCAAGAGATTCATCCCACAGCGTGGGATGGCTGCGGCTTGTTTGATCCGGCTCCGGTTCCGATTCTTGATTGAATTCGACGTGCGGAGCTTGTACATTTGAAACGTGTCGCTCTGATAGCTACAAAACAAACGTATATGTTAAAGAGATAGAACCAAAATTAAGGCGTAGGCACTGCTTACCTTGCAAATGCAGCTTCCAGAGCATTCCATGAGTTGAATACCCCATGGAACCGAGGCCAAATGACAACAGGAGGATGTAACGTCGCTCCATGAGCTCACGGACAATGCCGGGCTGCTCTTCCTCGTTTTGGTTAGGGAAGTGGGGCTCTTGGCATCTTCTTCTTGACGGCTGCCCGGGGTGGAGAGAGCCTGGAGTACATCAGCATCGTTCTCGCTATCTGATCTGTCGTCGATCCTCGGCGCGCGCCGGCGGCGCCTGGCCTTCTTCTTAGCTGCTGATCCCGACATCGGAGGGGGGAGGATGCGAATTGAAAGGACAGGGGTAGCTTTTTTTTAGAGTTTTTCGAATTTCAGAAATGCCGTCTGAGAAATACCGGTATCTGTGTGTACGTTTTGCGGCCAAATAGTTGGTCCACGTAGACACTTCCAAACTAGAATGCAGCTCTAAAAACGAATAATATTAGAGCGCATTGTGGTCTGGGAAAGCTCAAACGAGCGTTAGAAAACGATAAATTGGACGGAAAAACTACCTACAACATGGACGAAGTACATTTTAGCATCACTACGAACAAGACCCACTGCGATACGTCACACTCGGTACGTTGTCAGGAGCGCTGGATAGCTGCAACTACGTTTCTGGACAATTATTATAGCTGGCTGACTGCGGCCAACCATCGTTACAGAAGACAAGACACGGAGGCCATTAAGTAGAGGAATGTGACGGTGTTTTGCCAACCAAGAATTGTGAGCTTCTTACCACTTAATTAAACGCATCTTTGCCATCAGCAGATTATATTAAACTCTTATGTTTAAATATTGGAAAAATTAAAACTTATTGGAATAAGTATTTTTGTCACTTGGAGATTTAGGTGATGTCGTAGATCCACACTATTTGTGGGACCCCCGAGGATCTCATAAATAACCGGTACGAAACAGTACCAATTTTTGGTTTGGCTGCGGATTTCCTAATAGAGCTCTAGAGGTACATCCTGAGAAGGACAAGACGAATCCGCACATTCCCAAATTTACATGTATAGGGTAGAAAATCGCTCTCGATGCAGGCGAAGACTGTCAACCCAAGTAATATGCATGGTAAATGAATTCCAGTCAACCACACTGCTGACAACGCTCTTATGACAGTGTCATGTGCTGCGTCTTCGCTCTGCTCGCCTCATCCTGCTGAGCCGGTCGTTGAAACTCTACAAAATTTGACATTCCGACACGGTACCTGGTGTCGTTTCATACAACTCCATAGAATAACACCTCGCCTTCTGAAGTCTGAAATAATATTCATTGAATTTTACAGCCATCTTTTGAATTTGAAATACAGCACAATGAGCCCAGCAATAACGATCATGATTGCCCACCAGATATAGTATCCATAGTGGTACGTCTGCTCGGGAATGTACGGGAAGTTCATGCCGTACACACCGGTAAGAAATTGTGCAGGCAGGAAAATGGCCGCAATGAGCGCCAAGATGTAGCTCACGTCGTTCTGCTGCGACGCTCGGGCGTTGTTGAATTCTTCCACGAGGCTATTGCAGCGGTCCAGATTGTGTACGCACTCCTCCTCGATGGTCGTGAGATGCTCCTGAACGTCAGCGAAGTACTGCAGCGTCTCGCCTTGATAGTCATCGGACGTAATGAGCTTAGAAATGACCTCACGCATGGGTTTACAGTGCATCTGGAGGCCCTTAATCTGCCTCGAGCACGTGGCAATTCGACTCAAATCGAAGTACCGTGAGTCCAGTGACATCAGACGTTCCAGCATTATCAGTTTGGCTCCGAACGTCTGGGAAATAGGCGAGAGCTGGTTCACACAGACGTCCATGATGGTGTACATCAAGAACGCCGTGCTATGCTGGCGGACCTTGGAGTAGGACACATGCAGTCGCTGTTTGAGAGCAGACCAGAGCATGTTCTTACCCTGCACGCTGATAAGTACGCCCTCCATGACGTACAAGCTCAACTGACGAGGTAGAGACATGACGCATCCAATGTCAAGCTCCTTGAGTCGCATGCACAGTTCTGTGAGGCTCATCTTGTCGAAAGGCGAGTCATCTTCCGGTAATACAAACTGCGAGGCACGGTACATGTGCTGGTAATCCTTGACGATCGACATGTTGCGTGGACTCAGAGTCTGGAGAATCAAAAACGAATGTTCGTCGAACTTTACGTACTTCGGTCGCTTGACGTCTGGACCCAGCGTATCTTCGATGGCAAGCGGGTGCAGTCGATATCGAACGGATAAGCGTCGCATGAGCAGAGTGTTGATCCCTTCCACGTTGATCCAACGGACATTGGCCCAGCTTGGATTCGTCGAGTAGATGAAACTCTTGACCTGGTTGATCGGGTATACACTACGTATACGGTCCGGGGAATACTCAATTGAGCCCAGCGTTACCGGAGATTTCACACTCGAGAACAACGCTGGCATTGTGCGAATGAAGGGGTCATTGAAGAGCTGAGCCAGTTTGATCTCTTGGATGGCGCTGAGGAATTCTTCGTACGAGATGACGCCGTTTTTGTCTCCATCCACCACGTCCACGAAAGCCTGGAACTGTCGGTCGTTGTCGCACGCGATGCCCATAGCCTCCAGGCCGCATCGAAACCCTTCGTACGACAGCATTCCCTTATCTAAATTTTGCGATTCGAATACAGAATATTAGTTGTTAGAAACAAATATTATAGTTTGACAAATTCGGGTACTCTTACCGTCCGGGTTGGAGAGAGAGAAGAGCTTGCTGATTTTCCCGTTGGTGAGATCGAAGTGGGGGTCTCGGATGGAATAGTCGTCTTCCGTGTCGATAGCGCCGAGAGTATCGGACCATTTCACGGGCTTTCCATCTTGCGACGTGGTTCCAAACGGGAAAATGTGAAGGATATCTTTGCCGTACAGTGTGAGTGGGCGCACTGTCGTGTTCGCCACCGCCGTATTTGTTGGAGGAGATGGCGGTAAGTCACTGGACCTTACTGACGCCGTGGTATCCACAGTGGCACCTCGAAAACTGTTGCCACCCGGCAAAGGTGGTGACGGAGGCGGCGGAACTTCATCGCTTCGGCTGCTACCGCTGCTTCGACTGCTGCTTGATCGTGTGTTAATTGCGATGCGTCTGGCGCTGCCGTCGACGATAGATCCGTCATCCGAGTTCCAATCTGGAGGCTGGTAGCTTACCTGAATGTTGGGGGATGGAGCACTCCACGAATTGCGAGTCTCGACGGCCGGTCGGGACCTCTGCGATGACGGCGGTGTGGCTCCATACGCCACGATGGAGATCGTGTCTTCATCACCCGTGTTGCTATGAGGCAGCAGTGCACTGTCCATAATGGTCTGACCTTGTGCTAGACGAAGAAACTTGATGAATGAGCACATGCCACTGAGTGATTCTCATCGCGTTTTATTGAATACTACATGTAGCCCAGTAACCGGCGTGCAGAACACACTTCAATCTGGTCCTTCGTGTGCACGTTGCTCCTTGTCACAAGTCCCGCGTAGCAGATACTCTGAGTCAGCACCATTCGTCCGTCTACGCCTTTAGCATATTTTGAGCGCTTTGAGTGAGATATCAGGACAGGAACGCTGCTGCCTCATGCCCGACGGCGTATCTCAAAGACGTAGGTTAACTTTTTTCCACCAGCGAAATGATACCGGTACAGTTAACGATCCACCAACTCTTCGCAGAGCACTGCAGCTTTTTGAATGGGGCGGGGGGGGGGTCGGGCTTATTGCGAAATGCGAATACACCAATGAAAAACTACAGAGTGATGTACTGTAGCTGCCGTATTGCAAAGAGTTTACGAACGCGTGTCGGTCGCCACACGACGGACAGTTTTGTAGTCGAATAGAAGTGTCCGAGTCATGTACAGTACATGTACTTTAATCCGACTATAAAAGCTGCACGACAGCGCGTTGTCGCTCGATGAGAGCCTTGAGAGACCGATCGTTGAGCGGCGGTCAGCGTATAGACGGCGGCGTCGAAAGGCAGCAACGACCGAGCGCGATCGAGTCATGTCGTTGATGAGTGTGTGTCTTCCCCACCGAGATGATCGGCGAGCGCTATCATATTCCGTGCGCGTGTTTTTGCTTTAAAAGTGTCGTCCCGCTAAATCGATCAGCGGCTGATCGGTTCTTGCCGACGATTTAATCTTTGAGAGGCGCCACTAAGGAACAACACGCAAAAGGTAATCGAATTGCGCTGCAGTCTTCTCTTCGGTGGGCACTGTAATAGGATAGATCTGAGAAAAACTGAAGGTCCTCGTGTCATCTCAATACGGCGTTTGGAGATGGCAAGAGCGAGAATACCTCCGTCTTTCCCACTCGAATCCCCATACCGGTACACATGCCAGACTGGTACTATTAATACCAGTACGCTTGAAGCGGCTCGGCACGATGTGAAGGTGCTTTTATTGGAACTCCGTTCTCCCATGTGAATTCCAACAGCTTTTCATGAACTGCATCCTCGAAAGCCAAGGGATCCGCCGGTATTTTCCAGCGGGTTGTGTGAGCTCGTCCTTCCAGCTCTCCATACTTCGTCATCTAGATGGCGCAATCCAATACTATGGCCAGAATCAGTCGCGGTTGATGGACTCAAAACCTCTGTCCTCTAGCGCACTGTTGGCGTGTAGCGTCACTCCCCGCAATCTCGAGCAATCTGTGCCTTGCCACGCCTTCCCATTAAAAACAAACTACTGTATTAATGTTATAATAAAACCTTCTCGAGGCCAGGAATCCTCGCTCAATGTAATGCCCGCGCGATGTAATTGGTGACATAACGCTTTTTTGTGGCCGAAAAACGATCAAGATGGCAATTGAGCGATCCCTTTCTAAAAAGTTGCCAAAAAGTTGCCAAATACTGTTTCGTCGTCACGAAAACATCGGCAGTTTCTCCATTTTATGAGATATCATAGGCTATTCATCGTCTCGAGAGAGGCTCAAACAACACTGAGTTTGTAAGAACACAAATTTTACAAAAAAGCGCCAGTGTATGCCAAATAATAGGTTCCTGAAATTGGAACTCTTTTATGGAACTTTGCAATGCCGCGATTCTTCGAGTCCGTATGTAATGTGGCCAATCTTGCTTCGCGAATCCTTACGGTGCACATGTCGCTTGGCCAAGTCTCTCGACGAGCCAATCAGCCTCTGCTCAATCGATTGCAAGTTGTAAGGCGAAAGGCACTTGGACATTTGGGTCGCCGGCCAACGGAAGCCACCGACCGAGCGGTCAATCAGCGACCGGCAGCAACCCACTGAACGCACGTACCGGACACTCGGAATAAGAAGCATCCCACATACATTGAGGATACCACGCACTATAGCAATCTTCCAAAGATGCGCAGATGGCTGCGAGGCGTCATCGCCGAAGCACCCTCAGAGTTGCAGGAGGCGATCTCGGCAGATTCCGGCACAGGTTCCGACACAGGTTTCGACACAGGTTCCAGTGCTCATTCCCACAGTCCCGGCAGTATGGCCGACACTTCCGACGATGACAAAACACTGGAGTTGTGGCTGAGCATCAGCATCCCACTGGTGCTCTTACTGGCCTTCATCGTCGTCATGTTCTTCTGCTGTAAGCTTCAGAAGCGGAGGCAAGAGGATGTCGATCTGGAGGCCGGGTCTCCGTCCTTGCCGATCTACCATTTAGGCCGTCGGAAGGGGGCTCCGAACAACCGTTTGGTCTTGACCGACGAGGAAGAAGAGGCGCTTGCTTCCTGGAGGATCGAGGCGGAGAACATCGCACCCATTCGACCGCTCGGAGCGGGGGCATACGGCACGGTCTGGCTCGCGACGTATTTAGGCGAGACAGTCGTTGTGAAGAAGTTATCGCCGCCAATGCCGGCAGCGCTTCCTCGCACAAAGTCGTGGCGGAAGAACAGCCGACACAGCCGGCAAAGTGTCGGCGGGACCGGAGCGACCTCGGGCTCGAATTCAAGAACCAGAACTAAGTCACGCGGCTCGCCCGGCGAGAGCGCACTACGCAGGTTCGTAGCCGAGATCCGCTTCCTCGCGACCTTAAGTCACCCTAAAATCGTGGCGTTCTACGGCGTGGCATGGTCCACGCCGTCCAAACTGGACTCCGGGTCGTCGAACAACGCGACGGATCTCCAAATGGTGCTGGAGTTCATGAGTGGCGGCGATCTGCGCCAGTATCTGGCACGCACACGTAGCGATATCCGAGCGCGCGCCTGGGGGTCGAGAAAACTGTCCATGGCGCTGGATATCGCCGAGGCGCTCGCTTATCTTCACTCAAGGCAACCCAAGCCGATCCTTCACCGGGATCTGAAATCCAGAAATATCCTACTGGATTCGACATTATCTGCCAAAGTGGCAGATTTTGGAGTAAGTCGATACGGCATTTCTCACTCATTGGAAGGCGAGGAAGACGACGACGACGACGAGTTCGCCATGACGCGCTCGATCGGCACGAGTCGCTGGATTGCGCCCGAAGTGTTGTCGGGGGACGCCAGATATTCCACTGCGGTGGATATTTACTCGTTCGGCGTGATTTTGTCGGAACTCGACAGCCACGAGCTGCCGTTCTCTGAAGTAACATTATCCAACGGACAGCCACTGCCCGAAAGCGCCGTGCTGGAGCTCCTGCGCACTGGAGCCATCCACCCGTCGCTGTCGGATCGCTGTCCGCGCGGCGTGGCGATGCTCATGATGGAGTGCTTGACGCTCGAGCCTACGCTGCGTCCTACGGCTTCGATGGCGGCCGGCAGACTGCGAACTCTGCTGGAGCGCGAGCTTCGTGTCAGCGACATCGGCGACGATGTGAGCACAAGCGACCAGAATTCGTTTCTGGGCACGCGAGACGACCTCGCGAGTATTTACAGCAGCAGTTCCAGTCTCTCGATCGAGCGCGGATTTAACTACGCAGTGCTCGAAGAGCGGTGAGTCGTACCAACCACGAAACTTAACTTATAAGCGCCGGCATGGTTGAACCCGATGCCGGCGTCACTATGATAGTCATTTTAGAGACAAAAAAAACCGACAAACTGTTTGCTATTACCGGTATAGTACCGTATTTCACAAAGCATACTGGTGTTGACAATTTTGGCAAGGATATCGTTCGACTTTAAAGACTGTCATCTATTTTGCATACATGTATCGATTTTAAGCAGCCAGGATCCTTGCAGGGATGCCGAAAAATGAATTGGTGCCGCAATTATTGCAATAAGAAAGCACCAATTATCTATTGGAGGCTTTCTAGAGGAAGACCAGTTATTTATTTTCGCTCCCGTTGTAGCACCAATAACCTATTGGGCGGTGTTCAATCAGCCATACATTCTTTAGTACTTGTGCCCTCGCTGTGTACTAATATTGCTGCACCAATAATCTATTTTCTGAGTTGAGAAAGCTCAATAATCTATTTTGGTCAAGCCAGTTTTCAAACCAAATTATTTATTTTCTGCTTTGATTAGCAACAGATAAAAATGCAATATTCGGCATCCCTGGATCCTTGACTTTGGTCGACTGCTTGTCTTTTGCATGACCTCGTCGATCACGACGTAAGCTTAGATCACAATCGACGCTTTCGGGCCATGAACTTCAGGATGATGAGGTCCGGATCGACGAAAGACGAACAGCTCGAGCCGGAATCAAGACAGCCTCTGGCGTCCTTGTCCAAGGATCGGGCGTGTGAACGAAATTCGTTACCACAGTACGAATATCCAACACCCGATGTCCTGATGTCGATCAGCAAGACCGCACCAAATACGAACCCTCGCCGCGAGGGTCGGTTTCACAGAATTTGTACGATGATTTTGAAGCATGACAACGACGACTTCGGTGTGACCTCTATACATGTAATACAATGTAGAGTCTACACAAGTCCAAATGTGCAGCATCAAGGTTTAAGCGGAATCAACTGGTTTTTCGGCAGGTTCCGCCCCTCGATTGGTGTAATCGGTTAACCCAGCATGCGGTTTCCACATTGGTCGAAGCTTGTCAAATCCCGTTTCGGTTGCCGACAACGTAGAAACAATGAGTCCACAAAAAGGGGAGTCGAACCACAAAACCCACTTTTCTGCGCTAATGGAAAGTAAAATATGGCAACTAGATTCCTCAAATCTCTTAAATTTGGCATTACAATAAATCTATCTATTCTCTTAAAAATAGCATTAATATCTCATTTATGGAAAATTGACCGAACACTTGGTCCGAACTCACAGCCCCATCTGTCAGCACCTCTTGCCACTTTCACTCACAGCACATTCCGCCTTTGCTATTGTCTGCTGTCGTAGCGGTCGTCCCGGGGATACTGGACGCGTTCGACGTGGCAGAACAGCAACAAATTCGATATGGCTCGTCGGAATCTTTTCAGTGGAGGCAGCAATGGAAGTGACCACGATTCCTATCCCAAACGTGCGCGAGGCAACAACCGAAGAGCTCCCAGCAGTAAACGAGCGTTAGAAGCGCCTACTACACACCAGAAACGACAACCGCCACGTCCCCACCGCAGCAGGTTCGACTATGAGACCAGAAACTTGGACGACTCGTACGCAACGACTGCGCCCGCTGTGAGTACAAGAAGAGACGACAACATCTTCGACATACCCATTATCAGTACAAGGAGAGAAGCGCTAGACAGCACCTGCGCAGTGGTCGACTACGACGGAGGCCTCGTCAGTGGCAAGGCACTGCAAACTGGAGACGACGGGATCTCCATCAATGCCAACAGCTCAGTACCATCCCATGACGGAGCTATCGAGAAAGGATATGTGGAGCTCGTGTCCGGTCGAAACATTGGACTACTCGTGTCTACGTTGTGTGCAGGAGTACTAATCACTTGTCTGAAGAGAGGACTGCTCCCTCTTCTTCAAGCAGAACTCGAGTTGGAGACGTACCAGGTGGATGCAGCAAATGTACTCATGCTGTTGCCGTGGTCGTACACTTTCGTATGGGGTTTTCTTTCCGACGCGGTACCCTTATTGGGATCTCGACGCAAGTCGTATATTATAGCTGGATGGGTCGTGTCATTACTGACGTGCTTTGCTATGGCAATCCTCAATTACACACTCGAGTACAACGCGTTATCGAGTCGAGCAGCAACAGAAGAAGCGCTACAGAACCGAGTGGCACTCATCGATGGGTACATCGGACTTTTGATGCTCGCCAGCTTTGGCGGCGTCCTCACGTTGATCATCTCCGAGACATATGTGGTCGCACAAACCCGTCGAGAGCCTCTGGAAGTGCGTGGCATGGCGTTGGGGACAATTCTACTGACACAGTTCATGGGCGAACTTGTGGGACAGATTATCTCGGACATGGCCATTTTCCACATCACCGAGCTCGGACTCACGCCCATCGTCTCGTTCCGGCAAACCGCCATGTTCTTCATGTTTTATTCACTTGTGCCGTTGCTTACGCTGATTTTCTTCTTCCACGAAGACCCCGATCCGCCAGAAATCGACGACGGAGAAACGAATTACGGCGCTGACGAATCTCACATTTTTATTCAAGAAGAATTGGCCTCTATGGGCTGTTTCCAAGGCCTCCAAGTCAAGTGGCTGCGACTACGAAGAGCTCTCGCCAAGGAGTCGACAATTCGCATCATCCGCTTCTTCATGATCTTCGTGTTTCTATCGGAATTTACCCTCACGTATCCACATGCTCAACTTGAAATTTGGTGTAATTTCACGGACAAGGCTCAATCATCCAGCCACATTACGACGGGGGCGCTCTATGTGCTGGCAGCAGCAGCGTGGAAGTACTGTGCGCTAAACTGCAACTGGCGCTATTGCGTCACCGTCAGTCTGCTCGTCATTATGATGCTGCCTCAACTTGTTTTCTACTTTCTGGCGACTTGGTCGATCGGTATGCGGAGTCAAGAAACTTTCATCTTTATGACGGCGTTGCGAGGATTCATGCGCGGTGGGCTGGTCATACTGGAAGTGGCTTTGTCGGCCGAGATCGCTCCTGTCGGTGGAGAAGGGGCGTTCGTCGGTATCATCGTGTCGATGAGCAGCATCATGCGACTGTTGTCTACCACTTTTTCGAACGTTCTGGGCTTCGCATTTGAAGACCCCAGTCTGTACGGCACAGAACACCAGAGCGATCAGGTGATCTTCGGACTCGGTATCTGCTACTCTGTCCGACTCATTAGTCTTGTGGCGCTGCTCTTTTTACCACGACAGAAACAAGAGCTCCAGCGACTCCACCGTTTTGGCGCTCAAGGGGATAAAAGCACGACGTGGTGGGTCTTGGGATCACTAGGATGCGCCTTCTTCGTCAGCGCTATCTTCAACTTGCTAGCCGTCATCCCGAGCACTTCGTGCTTGCAGATTGTAGGCGGTGCAGGCTGCAAATAACTTAGGTCAGGATCGTTAGATATTACTAGTATAGCTTTAGCGTCAACTCTAATACTGTAGCACTCAAACTTTAACGGAACCATTCGAGTTCACAAAAATTGCGTTTCATTTTGATATTTACCTCTATAGAAATCTAACAGCCACTGCCGCCGACAATCCCCATGCACGACGTCGTGGGCGCGATGGCCAACGCGTTGAAGATTGTGCTAACGATGAACGAAACTGCGAGACAGCCGATGATCCACCACGTGGTGCATTTGTCGTCTCTGTTGCCGAAGCGGTGCAGTCGCTGCAGTTGCCGCTTTTGCTTTGGCAAAAAGACCAGTGCCACAAGGCCGAGAACCTGGATAATGTGCGATAAAACCAGCGCAAACGCCACCTGCATCCTGTCTGGGTCTGCTCGCGAGCTGACAGAGTCGTCGATGTCCTTAAACATGAAGCCAATGGCGTTAGAGACCGTGTTCGCCATCTGCCCCATACTCGACGCCATGGAGACGACAATACCGACGAAAGCACCTTCACCGCCTACAGGCGCGATCTCTGCGGTAATGGCAAGCTTTAAAATCACAATAACACCGCGGATAAACCCCGTAAGAGACGATACAATCGCGTAGATATCGATATTCCGCGCGCCCGGGTTGAGTGTAGCCATCGTGTAGTACACGAACTGGGGCGTCATGGTGATGATGATGAAGCTCGAGAAGACGCACCAGCGCCAGTCGCAGTTCAAGAAGAAATACTTCCAGAGGATCGCAGCTAGCACGGAGAGCACCTGCATCATAGTCTGGCCCATGGACGCGGCCTTGGCGTTCATGCCACACCATTCTTCGATCCGATTGGTCGGATATGTCAGTGAGAATTCGGACATGAAAATAAAGCCAATCAGGAAGCGCATGACCCGCGACGTCGACTCTTTGCCTAGCGCGCTGCGCAGGCGGATCCAGTGGCCGCGTAGAGCTAATTTGACGCGTTGGTAGAAGTTCGCAGCCGTCATGTAAGCGCGTTGCAGCTCCGAGGCCGACGTCTCCAGGTTCTCGATAGTAGCGCGATTGTAGCGATCACGCGCGGCATTGATCGGAGGCGGGTCCGGCTTCTCGAAGAAGCAGGTGCAGAGCGCGATCAGCGGGATGACCGTGTAGAATACAAAGAAGAGCATCGTTTGACGCAGTGTCACCTTTGGAGTGGCCCTGAGATCTGACACGTCGAAGATGGCGTAGTCAGCGATGACTTGGCCGATAAACTCGCCCAGGAACTGCGTAATGAGCAGCGTCCCGAGCGCTGTCCCGCGCACGGTCATGCGTTCTTTGCGAGTCTGTGCGATCACGTACGTCTGTCCGATGACAAGTGCCACAATGCATCCGAAGTTGGCCATCATTAGAAACACCATGTACAGGTCCATCAGACCGTCCGAATGCCTTAAAAAGTCTGCAGTAGTGATGTCGTTCTCCTCGGCGCGATACGAAATAAATTGGTCCGCCAGAGCCATCGCAAAACATGCGAGCATTGTCGTCATCCACGCTAGAATTATATACGCCTTGCGTCTAGATTCTAGAATTGGAACTGCATCTGAAATGAGGCCCCAAATGAAGCAGTAGGACCACGGTAAAAGGACCAATACGGACGCAGCATCCACCTGATACGGTTGCATCTTCAGTTCGGCCTCGAGTAGAGGGAGAACGCCGCGTTTCAGACACGTCGTGAGGATACCGGCAAACCCTGTGGACACCAGCAATCCCATGTGCCATCGGGACACCAAATTGACCTCGAACTTCCTCGATAATGCTGGAAATGGCAGGGCGGACTCGTCGTCACCATCACCGCCTTCGCGCTTTCTCCACGTCGGACTGTGGACGGCAGAGTCCCCTCCATTCATGATCACTACAGAGCTCATGAGCGGGTTGTCCACTCGTCCGAGGATCGGAATGGCCGAGACCTGAACATTATCAACGCGAAGACTTCGCTCAAAGCCACTGCGGTTGAGACTTCGATCGAAGCCACTTCGGTTGAAACTCTGGTCGAAGCCACTTTGGTTCAGATTGTGCTCGAACGCACTGCGATTCAAAGCCGGGAGGCCGCGACTCTGGTTGAAACCTGTGCTGCTGGCCAAGTCAATGTCTCTGGGAATGCTCTCGTTATCCTCTTCATTGTATCTCGTGAAATGGAGCCGACCCATTGTAAGTTAGCGCAAAATATCTCCTTTACGCTGAAGAGAGCGCGTCGGGGCGTCTGCCGTCCGTTGTTTTGCGTTCTGCTGAAGCAGCACACAGTGCGGCACACAGTCAAGCAGTCTCACAGTCTTTGGAAAGAGCGGACTGTACAGCCGGAGCTGATGCTCCTTTCGATGTGCTGGTGGCCCATTTCTGACATTAGTCTCCCGGAAATGCAAATCTGAGGAACAAAGAAGCCAGATTTATGCTGTTTCCAGCTCGGAACTCGAAAATGGAATCAGACGCTTCGTAATTGGCAAAAGTGAAGGTACAGTACACACTCGATTTTTTTTTTCTTCAAAAATGGGGGCAGCAAAACTAAGAACTGAAAACCGTTAGCAACTACATAAAGGCATATGGTATCTATAAATATTTTCCACATCACTTATTTTTTTACAATAACTCCTCCTCCAAAAGCGTGGGGGAAGCTGGAGGTGCTGAGGGCGACACTAACGGAGCAGTCGGAGCCACAGGAAGAGCTCTCGGGGAGAATGACGGCGCTGATGCACCTGCCAAAGGGACCAGCAACACTGGAGCTGAGCTGTCGTCCTCCTCCTGAGGAGGGGCAGAGGCGTCCACATCTAAGAGTTGCAGGTATCCCGTTCTCACGTTGGAGAAGTCCTCCACTCCAGCCAGGAGCAACTGTTCTCTCTCGATCAGCTCGGATCTCATGGATTGCCAGCCAAAGAGACTCAACTGAGACGCCACTGGCACCGCCATAGGCACCGATCCCTCGGCTCCAGTGGCTGCGTCTTCCCCTCCCTGTGTATTGCCAGTCTGTCCCCCCGAGTTGCTTGCTCCACTCGATCCACCGGAACTGTCGCCGCTTGCTCGACGTTTGCGGATGTAAATGACTGCGGCGATGAGCACCACGGCAGCAGCCACTCCTCCTACAATCCCCATCAACATGTTGCCAATCGGAGGCCCTCCATGTCCTTCCGTACCCATAGAGCCTCCGTACGTATTAGCGTGTTGGCTCTCATAGTCCTTATTGACGACTGTGCCATTGCACACTGTCTGGCCTACGGTGCTTTTCCAGATCGGAGCTTCACACACTGCAATGCACACGCACCCTCCTTTGCCGTAGCAGAATTTCGTCAACGAGCCGTCGATTCTCCCGTGCATCACGTCGGAAAACACCGTATCTCGACACTTTTTGCACTGCTTGTCCTTGTACGAGCAATAGTCCACTTTGTCCGCTGGAAACTGCACTTTTTGGTCGTCGCACTGGTCTTTATAGTTGGAAGCGTTCTGGTTCCAGAAGACCAGCTCTTTGGAGAACGTGGCCGGCGTCTTTCGCACGCAGCGGCCATATTGGTTCACCATGCATCTGTCCGAGCCCCCGACGTCGATATTGAGGCAGTCTCGACACGAACGAGGCTCCGTGCAGCCATCACTTCTGGGAGGGTAGTAGGGACACCGATCATGGGACGTCCAGTCGGTGGGGGCGGGGGTTATAGGCTCAATTTCCACTTGGTCATTGCAACTGGCAGACCCATTTTCGACCTGAATTGTGTCGGCTAGAGAGCCGTCTGAGCCGGAGCCGACAGCACTTGACGACGCAGCGGAATATGGTGAAGACGTTGGTACAGGCGGCGGGCTTGTAGTGTCCTTAGTATCGTCGCTATCGTCCGATGAAGACGACGTCCACGAGCCCATTCTTGTGTGTTTTGATGCAGATTGACGAGTGACATGAATTGCGTTGAGACCTTCCAAAGTTTCCATAAATTGTAAGATAAAATAGCACCTAAAAACGGATCTAGCCCTTCTGAGAGGCTTAAGAATTCTAAAACAAAAAACCTGTGTAATTCAGTGAGGGTTAGAGAATGGGCGGAGATGGGGCTTCGGTGGCTTACAAACGACGATTCAAGCTTGTCATCATTGACAGTGAACAGTGACAGTGTCAACTTGACACTGTCAAGGCCGCGAAGATCTTACCGTGAAGTTCACGTTCACAGTTGTTTATGAAAGAAGGTACATGTATCGTGCCGACATCACCGGAGCAAGCGTGCCGCCATCAGGATGTCACTTGCTCCATGCTCCGGTTATCATGAAAACGGAAAGCCAAAATTGGACCGAAGGAGGTGAAATTTGTACGGCTCCGTGTGGTAGAAATGCCGTGCGTTCATCAGTGATGCAATGCGCAGCGGTCATGGACTCATTGTCCTCACCAGTCGTGTTGACCTTTTTGTTCGGCTTCTTCAAGCAGGTCACGATTCGTGACTCAACGAACACTGTACCTGTAGAATAGACTGTCACACAAGTACACGTACCGCGCGGCGAGTCTGAGCAACACGAAGCCAGGGCAGGATAGCTGTTGACAACGTGCATATCGGTACGTCACTGCACGGCGCTCTCTGCAGCATGTATGTTATGGAGAGGTCACCGAGATATTGGGCACTAGGCTGGTGTGTAGCTCTAAACTTGTAGGCTAAAAGCTGTTTCAGCCTTCTTGTAAATGTATCTTCAAAGGGGAGAAAATATAAAAAACGGACAGCCAAGTCTGAATTTCGGACAAAATGGAGTTTGTCCGCAGTGATGATAGGGGTTGGTGTGGGTGGTTCTGAGTCTGAGCCTACGGCAATGACATATGCTAGGTTAAAGGGCATATTTGAAAATTCGCGGCAGTCGAGGGAAGACGGCAGGGCACAAGACTGCGGGATGCAGCCAAGAACAGGGTCGCGAGGTAGGCATGGACGCGACTGTGAAGAAGGAGCTTGCAGCGGAGGCTACCGCGACGGCCAAGGGCGTCCAGACCTACAAGGAGCGGGAGGACAAGAAGAAACGCATGAAAAACAATCCCTGGAAGACAAGCTCGCGAAAGCTGCGCTACAGGGGGCACAAAAAGCCCGTCCGCACCTCCACCAAAGTGTACAATGTCGGCAAAATGAAGGCGATGTACATGAATAGCTTTCTGCGGCTGCCAGGAGTTCGTGAGGCGCTGTCTGCGCGGCGCAATGCTGTGCTTCGTCATGAAGCTCCTCGTAAACTCGAGGTAATCGTTATTGACGACGACGGCGATGACCTCTGGCCGATGGGTGTGGACAAGGTGAGTGTGTCTCGAAACCCAGAAAAGATTAAATTTCCAGACACGGGTCCTACAGATAAGTGCATGTGCGCTTATGACTGCTTCAGAGACGATTGTCTTAATGCCGACACCAGTTACTACGCATAACTTCGCAGCAGATGAAGAGCAGACCTGCGACTACGCGTTGGAGCTTCAGCTCAGGAGTACTCGAGGCAAGAAAGTCTACATTGATGCGACGAGTTGTGGTGGTATAACGCGAATGCTGAACCACTCGTGCGACGCACCGTGCCACTTTGTGGAGCTACGCAACCGCGAAAACGTGGCCGTGGTGGTGGTGGCCAAGCGCACGATTAAAGAGGGAGAAGAGGTGACTGTCGACTACGTGGACCCGTGGTTCGACTGCGTGTGTGGTGCTGCCAACTGCCGTGGCTAGGACAAAAAGCCGTGTATCCGGGCTCAAGATCACCGTGTTGCAATGTCGTAGGTGCCATTAAAGTAGGATGGAAGCACGAATTGACCATGAGTAGCGCCGAAAGCAACCTTTATTGCAAATATATCGTTTCCATGTTCTGGCGCTAAGCTCGGCGGCTTGGTTTGACAGGGATGCAGCACCGAACCATTTTACTTCAACCTGCAATCTGAGAAGCTTTAAAAAGAAAACCCGTGTATTGAGAGGTTACTCTGACGTATGAAGCGTTGGGTAGAGCACCTTTCACGGCACTATCGGTCCTTATCACTGTGAGCAAGGCCGAACAACATTTCTACTCCATATCAAGAGCAAAACCGTAGGTGCGAGGTCTTCCCACAGGTACATAGGGTTCAGTTGTTTGGGTTTCCCGCTGCCGTTTCTTAGACGTGCCTCGGTAGACCAATGTAGCTTTTCCAACCGGTTCAGCAGCGCCAGAGACTTTCAATGCGTGAAGAAGATGTATGCAACACACGAACCTAAAGAAGTAATTGCATAGCTGCGTCGAGTAAGATCCTTTTGCATAACACGGAAGTACACCGAACGCAGTGCATTTAGCATGTCCGTGTATTGGGGTTCCAAACGTTGAGAAGTTACGAACAACGCCACTAGGTGAAATGAACGACATCGATCTGACATTCCACAAACCAGTACTGGGTATTCCACTTGAGCCACCTTAAATGTAGCATCCACGTGAAAAACAAATGAATCCACCGGGCGATCCAACCTAGATAGAAGCCTTTTTGAAGTCACACCAACCACGAAAGGTTTTTTGTCAGATCCTGTTCCAACTTCGATATGGCCAGCATCATTTTTTTGACAACTAATAGTGAAAGATGCGCTATCCTCCTCAGTTCCGTTAAACGCCAACCACGTATGTACTCAGTGAGCTCGTCCACAAAATCATTGTTCATCATTTTGGTCTTGCGAAAGAAGTTCGAGAAATTTGCACGACCTTCAACTCTGGCAGATCATCCATACGAACGTTAAACTTTCGAGGCATCGCGTTTCGAATACGACCTGGTCGCAGTCCTTGCGCAGCCATCTCTCTGATGTAAGTCTTATGCGCTTCTGTCAACTTGTTTTTCTTGGTATCCTTCTCGAGGCTGTTGTGTTCCCCACACTCGTTAATGGTGAACTTCCGTGTATTGTCGCACTCCATGACACGCCCACGCGCCACTGACAGTTTGCCTGTTGACCACTAGTTTCGCGTTTTGAGTATGAGCAGCTCAAAAGTTGGTAGCGCATTTCGTGGGGGGTTGCCACAGTACATATCGTGCAGGAGACGGTATGACTGGTTCCCTTCTTGTACTGCTTAAACCCTGCTAGCGCAGCTTCTGCGGTAGTGGCGTCCACAAAATCGCGTACTATAGTCTACTGCAGCGTCATAGCAGACCGTGATTGAGGCAAGCCGTACCTGTCGGTCGCCCTGGGAGCTCCACCACGAAGGCGCCAGATACGGGGAAATTGCGATGTGCGCATCTGCGATAGGATAAAAACCCTGTCAAACGCCCATGAGATTGGCTAAAATACAATGTCCGCAATTCAGCTACCTCTGTATGCAAGTCAGGTTACGATCTCCATGAAGACACAACGATGTGTGTTCTTCCCAATCCCTTGTGCGCCATTCATATATTTTATGTGCATTCAGGCACTTTATGTACTTTTTTGCATTAGTGTGTATTTTTTCTGTTTCTCTTACAACTGATGACTTGTTCAGTCATAATTTCAAGTTGAAAACTCGTCAGCTACACTTTGTACAGTACTTCATGCAAGACCGGAATTTCCGCAATTGGTGTCCATTTTTTTATACCGATGGCAGGCAAACGTTTTCAGGGTGGACAACCAATGGCTGTACTGTAGACGCAGGAGCTGTGACTGCAAGGATTACCGAGCGAGTCGAACTCCAGCATGGCATTAATCAGCGGTTGAACTGATTGTAAAGCCAAGACGCGGTGCTGCTTGCTCCGAACAGCGAAAGAGCACAATGTATACAGGTCGTTAATCATAACCACTGCATGACTCGCGCCTGCTTCAGTGCGATCAGTCCATTCGCCAAAGTACCAGCTGTAGCAAGAGTCTCAAGATGCTGACGCGCAGGGACTCAAACGACTAACAACGCAATTACTATCGTATCTCGGGAAGAGAACTCGGAATCGCTGACAGATATCCGTCGGTCGCATGATCCTCGCAACTCCTGGGGCTGGAAATGCTATCAGCTACGAGCCAATAGATTGGCACTCAGACGACGACGGTGTAACACCGGCGGTGCTCTTGTTGATGGCAGCGCATCGCTGTCAATTTACCACCAGAGAGCTATCGACAGAGACGCCGATGACCCCGCTGGCAAACTTGATTGCGCTCGCTCACGTATGGCAAGGACATTTTGCACATGCTCCATACGGCACTACTGACTCTGTAGCAAATAATGTGACCTCTGTTTGACACGCTTAATGCGATTGATATAGAAGACGATTTCTCGATCTAATACATGTATCTGCATTTTAGACCTCACGAATGCAAAAAAAAAAACCAATTCGCTGTCGAATCCGAATGGTAAGTTTACCGTACAGTACGCGTGATAATTTGTACCTCACTAACTTCACATTTGACTTTGTAGAACAAGGGAAACCATCGTACGAAGGCTTTCGATGTGGACTGGAGGTCATAAGCATTGCTATCGACCGCGACAGAAAGTTCCGGGCTTTCGGGAATATGGTGGACCCAGAGAGTCTCTGCCAGAGACATCTTGTACGACGAGTTCCCAAGCGCCATCCATGAAATCAAACTTGCTCAACTCTTTAAGAAGCTGTTTATCCGCACAATGCCAGTCTGGCCGAGAGCATCAAGTCGTCTGTCAATCTTAGCTCGATCGGATTCTGTAACGGGGTACGTAGCCCTAAGTGTACCCTGGTTACATGGAGTGTGACACTTCACACTTCAGGAGTATGACACGTCATACTCCGAGATATTTGGTACAACGTACCAAGGTCGTTCAAAGCCAACCATTGGTTAAATGACATTGCATTTCTATAGGTAACTAACAGTTTGTATTAAACCCAAACTTAATCTACCTATAAATATACTCAGTTTACAATCTACCTTATTTGGGTCACTTCGCTCTCTTTAATAAAAGAGGGGACCTGTGAACTGCCGTTCACTGAGAGTTTGTATACTCTCGGAAGATAACTTCCTCTTGCGCAAGGTGCTGTGTGACCCCGTCACACTTGGTAGCACTTGTAGTCAATCCACGCCATCGCGGGTAGACTACCTGAACCTCCGAAGTTCGTTGCCATGGATAGGAAC